CAACCTACAGTCTTGACCTAAATAGAATGCCGTTCAATGCCCACATTGCCCGGTCATTACAGCTGTATCTAGACTGAATGTTGCCTTAAATACAACAATAATGACCTGGCATTTTCTTTTCTGGTGAAGACGGTACTTCTGGGACAGAGTCAAGAGGAAGATGTGGGTTCTTCCCCTCTCTGCCCCTGCCATACCCATTATCACCATCCTTTTTTTCATCCTTCTTTTTTCTCCTTTTTTTTTTTTTTTTGTGGGACCATGCTCCAATCTTATTCATGGAGAGCAACGCGTGCTGAGAACCGGGCCCAGCTTCCCTTACAGAAATACACGGAACACTTTCTTTGAAGTGCTTGCTCCGAACCAGTGAAAATTGTATAAGCAATGTTCGATCAGCAGGAAACCACAAAAAAGTACGGCCGCTCTAGATACAGGGGCCATTACCCGGCTTCGACTCAGCTGTAACAACCCGCCATAACACAGACTGAGAACACTGCTGATTTCTGGAGTTCTGCCGATGGAATGGATGTCTTGCTGATATTCCCGCATTCTGCTGAGTTTTCTAAGTCTGTGTGTGTGCGTGCTTGTGACCTGCGTGCCTGTCTGAGTGCTTGTCGGTACGAGTGTGTGTGTGACCCGCAAGGGTACTTGCTTGTTTGGCAGGCCCATAGGGCCGGTACTTACCTGTGGCCGTGGCATTGAGGGTTGCAGCAGGGAAAATACTCAAGTAGCGGAGCCAGGGGCCCGTGGTGCTTAGAGCAGCGGAAAAACACTCAAGTAGCAGGTAGCCAGTACCGCACCCAGCAGCAGTAGATGTGCCGGGTACTCAAGGCCGAGCAGAAGAAGACAAAGTCGGCATTTTTAGAGGCCCAGTAGCGGTAGGCTAGGTCTAGGCCGGTACCAGTCCATCCAGTCTGACTCTAGAGCCTGTATGGGCAATATCAGAGTCTGCAATGATGTTTCCCTCCGAAAGGGAGGAGGTACCGGTTGCTTGGGAGGCCGAGCGGCCTTGAAGTCACCGCCCAGGAGGCAAGTAGGCCGCTAGATCAAGAGGCCGAGGGAAGAGCCCGGCCTCATTCTTCAGTGTGCAAGTTTGGCGACACGCTGTTGGAGCGCTAGCTGGAGTAGTGCTGGGTACTACAGCGCTGGGGGAGGAAGAAGCCGGGAGCTTCCACCTTGGCTATGGTGGAGCTCTACCGGAAGGAGGAGGGAGAAGGGGCCCAAGGAGGAGAGTGGCGAGGTACCTACCTGCCTATGGTGGACACCATCTTCATCACCTTGTCAGGCGCTGCATCTGGAAGGCCCCAGTTGGGGTAGTGCCGCATCAAGGAAGCTCGGGACAGAGTCAGGCATGGCGGTTGAGTGGGCAGCGGCATAGCTGCCTGGTGTTGACCTTGGGACAGAAGGGCAGCGACATAGCTGCTTTGGGTTGTCCTTTGGACAGGAGGGTAGAGCCCTCAGTGCTCCGCCATAGCCTCGGCCTGCATGTACAGGAAGAGGAAGGGTGGTCATGGCTATTGCAATGGCTTACTGATTTCTACTGTCGAGATCTGACTGCGAGGTTGTACAGTCGCGTCTTACGGTCAGATTCGTAATTTTATTTGTGTCAGGGACTAACCGCCAGTTTAGTCTTCAGAGGAATTCGTGAGGGACATATCTGCAATTTCTGGGAAAATTGCAGACCCGAGTTCCCCTTAGCCGTTATCGCCCTTAGCAGACTCGAGCTATCACTGGGACAGCCGGCCCATCCGGGCCCTGGGCTGTAGAGACGAAATAGGCGCCGTATAGACGGGTAGGGCCCAGGCCGAACAGGCCCAACTGATGCGGTACCGGTCCAGTAGGTCTAGGTCTAGAGTAGGCTAGTCTATTAATAGGACGGAGCCGGTAGGATCGGGAGGTTTGGCAGTTCATTTTCACGATACAGCGTGCTGGAGACAAGCAAGTTGGTGGTGGTGATTGTCTACAGGCGGCATCCTGAGACCCTCATCGTGGACAGCAGCCATAGCCAGCCTGTCGATGCTTGCCATAGCTGGGGCACCCTCTGAGCATCTACCCCTGGGGGTATCTGGGATTGGCTGGGCTGATCGGAGGCTCTTCACTGAGCATATGTGGGTGGACCACTGTCGCCCTTC